TTGTAGGTCTTGCACTATCTGAGTTCAAGATTTACTATAAAGCTATAGTAATCAAGATAGTGTGTTATCAGCATAAGGTAGTAATAGATCAACAGAACAAGATAGAGAGAGCCTAAAAGTAAACACACAGTACTGGTTTTTCACCAAGTTAGCAAAGCAATTTAATGGGGGAAATAATGTTTTCAATAAATGATGCTAAAACAATCATTTCAATAAATGATGCTACGTGCAGGAAAAAGTGAACTTTAACCCTTACCTCACAGCAGACACACAACCGAACTAGAAATGAAATATGGACCTCAATGTAAAAGCTAAAACTATAAAACTTCTGGAAGAAAATAAAGGAGAAAACCTTCATGACTTTCTTAAATAATTTATAAACTATTTTATTTTTTGTTAATCCTCACCCAAGGATATTTTTTCCGTTGATTTTTTAGAGACAGTGGAAGGGAGAGGGAGAGACAGAGAAAGAGAAACATTGATGTGAGAGAGACACATCAATTGGTTGCCTCCTGCTCCCACCCAGGGCCGGGGATTGAGCCTGCAACCTAAGTAGGTGCCCTTGACTGGAATTGAACCTGGGACCCTTTGGTCTATGGGCAGATGCTCTATCCATTGAGCCAAACCATTTTAAAACACAAACTTAAACAAAACATAGTTAAGAAAATGAAAAGGCAAGCCTCTGGCTGTGAGAAAAGATTTGCAAAAGAGATATCTAGTAACAGACTTAATTCCAGGTTACACAATGAACTCTAACAATTTAATAATAAGCAAATTATTTTAAAATGGGCAAAAATTTGGACTCTTCACCAGAGATGTGAATGGCCAATAAACATAAAAAGGTTCTCACCATCATTTATCTTTGGGAAAATGCAAATAAAAACTACAATGAGATGGCACTACACACCCACTAGCATCGCTAAAATTAAATTAGCTGATAATAACAAGTGTAGGCTAAGAGTGTGGAGCAAATGGAACTCTTGAACACTGCTATTGGAACATGGTACAGATGCTTTGAAAAACAGTTTAGAAGTTTCTTATAAAGTTAAACATATACTTAAATGTGATCATAGGAATACTCCTAGGTATTTACCCAAGACAAAAGAATTGTATTTAAATGCTAACAGCAGTTTATTTCATAATAGCCCCAAACCAGAAACAGCCCCGTGTCCATCAGCAGATGGCTGATGAACATACATATAATGGAATATTACTTACCAATAAAAAGATATAAATTACTGATATAAACAATATGGATGATTTCAAAACCATTGCAACGAATAAAAAAGGTATAAAAATGTTTATACCACGCTATATGGTTCCAATTATGATATTTGGGAGGAAATTCTAATCTTTCTAAAAAGCAAGCAGAGTCATTGCCTGAGGCCAGCAGCTGGGAAAGGACTGAAGGCGGGGGGACGACACATGGGAAATTCTAGGAGGGAAATGTTTTATCTGTAGGGGTGGTGACATGAGTAGATAAATATATCAAAACTCATTGAAATACATACTTAAACTGGTTGCATTTTATTATATATAAACTAGGTTTTTGCCTTGGAAAATCAGATGGGTGGTGTGCCACTTACAGACGTAGGAAACAAGCAGCAAATCTGGCTCAGAGAAGAGTTATTTGGGAAATGTTGAATGTGAGGTATTCTTTGTGTGGATCTGTTTTCAGTTCACTTGGGTAAATACTTAGGAGCGGAATTGCTGGGTCACAGTAATTCTATTTTGAACTTTCTAAAAAGTGCCAGACTGTTTTCCAAAGTGGCTGCACCATTTTACTTTCCCACTGGCAATGTCTGAGGGTTTCAGTTCTTCACATCCTCACCAACACTAGTTATTGTCCATCCTTTTGAGTACAGCCCTCCTAGTGGGTTGTGGTGGAGTTTTTATAACAAAAAGCAGCAGTTAGAACAATACTGTGGGCAAGCACATTCTCTGATCAACCAGAGGACCCAGTCAACCACAGGCAGTAGACTAGGGGGTAAGACTGATACTACTTCCGTATCAGTGCCTGGGGTGCCCTGTCTGACAGTTAGGGGCAGTGGTTGTCACTGCCCTGGGGACCAGTGAGAAATGCAAAGTTTCAGACTCTATCCCACCAGACCTTCTGAGTCAGAGACTCTGATTCCAGTGATCCCACCCCTCCATGTCAGCTTTAACCACCTTATTAGGGATGATTAATATGCACCAAATCCATCATCCTCTGCAAATGATGATGGTGAGCAAGGAAAGAGCTTTTTGAAGCTTCAATCATACAACTCAAGTGAAAGGGTTTGACACTTTCCAGTCATGAGTGACAGTGTTGATGTAAAATGTTCACAATAATTTTGGACAGAGAAAACCCAGCAGGAAGGTAAACATGAATATCACAACCACCATCCAAGGCAGGAACACATGTCATTTCCCTCATTCTTGTTGTTATAAGTATTCCTTATTCATTAAAAATTTCAGCCCAGCTGGCGTGGCTCAGTGGTTGAGCATTGACCTATGATCCAGGAGGTCACGGTTCAATTCCTGGTCAGGGCATATGCCCAGGTTGCTGGCTCGTTCCCCAATGTGGGGCATGCAGGAGGCAGCTGATCAATGACTCTCTTACCATTGGTGTTTCTCTCTCTCTCTTTGAAATCAATCCTATATAATAAAAGGCTAATATGCAAATTGTCCCTTCGATGGGCGTTCAACCAGAAGTTTGACCAGGGGGCGGGGCTAACTAGCCAACTGCCTGCGACCCCTCCTCCTAGTCCCACCCCCAATCGGCCACACCCACAACGTTTGGGGCTGGCTGGCAAGATCCCACCTGTACACAAACTCATGCACCGGGCCTCTTGTAAAAATATATTAAAAAACAAATTTCAAAGAGCATGCCATCATAGTTCTCCTTAAGCTCCTAGGAAGGAGGATGGCACTGGAGCTTCACAGAACAATCATTTAAAACAGTGAGGGTGGCCCCACCCATACAAAGTGAAGCAGACCGGGGATACTCTCAGGACCTGGTATGTTGATTACCATCCAAACAGAGGAAAGAGGGAGAAAGAAGATGGTGGCGATATAGGCAGACGCATCCCAGGTCGTGTCCCGGAGCAAATGGAGTGAGCAGCTGAAACTAATAATACCCACCCCGAATTGGCGAAAGTGCTCAGCTGGTGAGACGGTTTGCAGCCGGGAAGGGCAGAACTCCCCTGGAAAGGTAAAAATACCC